CTTGGCCTCAACGAATTCTTTAAAGTAGCCTTCGCCTCACCGTCTCCAAAGCATGGCCTTGCTAGCTCCCAAAACAGCTGTTAAAGTGAATTTAGCCGAGAAGTATGCGTTTTGCTCCCTTTACTGTCACTTCGATATTTCATCACTCGTAAATAAGTGCTCGTAAATACGCTGGAGATACAGAGATGAAATATTGAAGCGACCTCTAGAGGGAGCAAAACACATGCAGAAAGGGGGGGGGGGGACCCTGATGCAATCTGGGCACACAAGCAATGAAAATAAGGCTTGCAGAAAAACCCTGGCTGGAGAAGCCTCCCCAAGATGGGCACTTCTATGGGAAGCCCTCTTTAGTTCTTCACAGGGAAGTCACACACTCGGGTGCCCAGTGATTCCTGAGCTACAGAAGACATCACTGGCCACTGGCGGTGATGTGGCTGTTGTGGGCCAACTGCACTGTACACGTATTGCCCTTTTCAGGGCATCAATGCTGTTGAACTGCTGGGTTAAAGAACCAGATCCTGCTACAAAACTATCACTCCCTTGTGTTTAAGAAAGCCTACAGCTAAATATTTGTAGTTGCAGGCAAGCGTTTGGCTGCTGTCTTTAATACCGGGACTTCATTTATATTGCGTTTTCAGTCAGCCGCTGTGCTGCTGCAGACACAGGCATTTATCTTGTTCACACATCTGCTACTCGGGACTCAGATGAAAAGCACACACTGTACAGGGACGTGGCTGTTTAGAGCAGCACACCAAAATAAAATGCAAATGTTAAATGAAAAGCATTGATCATTTTGAAGAGTTGCGATAGGCAGCCTCTTCCCGTCCTTCCTCTTTTCCACGTGCGGAAGAAGGAAAGGTGGATCTCACCTGCCATTGTGGTTCACCTTAGGCTTTTATGTGCCATTTCCAAAAGGTGGATCGGGGAGTGAAGAGAGAAAGTAGAATGACTACAGTGGTGGGGTGCAGGAAGAGGGGGGAGAAAGGCTACATGAATGAGATGCATGTATGAAAGACTGACTAGAGGGCATTCCAATATCCACTAATGGGTATAAAGGGAGTATGAAAGAAAGAAACTAGTGAGGGGGGGGGAAGGCTACATGAATGAGATGTGTGTATGAAAGAGTGACTAGAGGGCATTCCAATATCCATTAATGGGTGTAAAGGAAGCTATGAAAGAGAGAAACTAGTGGGATTTTGTAGATTTCCCCCTTTGTTTCATTGGGTTGGATCCACACTAAACTGGCAATTTCTGCTGAGTCCCCCATCCCATCGCAGAGCCTCCTCATGTCATTCCAGAGCAGGGGAATCAAACTCATTTGTTATGAGGGCCAGATCTGACATAAATGAGACCTTGTTGGGCCAGGCCATGTGTGTCATAAAATGTAATGCCTGGTAGCAGAGATATAAACTTTATAAAGGACACAAACACAAATGGTTTTTTTTTACTTAATATAAAAACATGCTTAAAACATTAGCACTCTTGCAAGATTTTGTTTATTTAACAGTGTCTGATAACTGACACCTCTTGCTCTGAATTATTGCATCAAAATGTCTGTGCTGTTGCAATCTTGAGTATGCTGTTCAGGTGTGTATCTGTAAGCTGCAAACCTACGATGACGCAGCAGCAGCAGAACTGGAAGAAGAAGCAGAAGACAGCCAGTTCCGCTGCGGGCCTGATAGAAGCCCTCCGAGGGCCTGATCCGGCCCCCGGGCCGCATGTTTGACACCACTGTTCCAGAGGGTATCTTGTCTCCCAAGAGCAGCATTTTGTGGGTATCAGTGGGCTGCAGGGGGAGGGGGGAGGCATGAAAGTTCCATTCTTCCATTATAAAATTTAGTCTGGATTCAACCCGTTAGTAATTTGTAATGATCTAGTAAAAAATATAGAGTGCATCACTGCATCTCCTGGGAACCAAGACTTGAGTGGCAAACTACAATGGGGTTCAATGCAGAGATGGCTTCTGGTTCAGATCTCAGCCAATCCTGGCAAGACCCGTAGCTCAGTGGAAGAGCACAGGCTTTCTTTTCCAAGATGCAGTCCCTGGCACTTCCCGTTTCAAGGATCCAGGGCAGTGAGAGTTTGGAAAGAAGTCTGCATAAGACCCCCAAAAGCTGTTACCAGTAAAAGCAGACAGTGCTGGCTAGAGGGACCAATGGTCTGGCAATATAAAGCAGCATTGCACATTCAGGTGTGTGTTTGTGTGTGGGGAGAAATTCCTAGCTGTGGAACAGCCACTGAGAGGGTCTGAATATATGCCTTCGTTGTGCAGATTGTGCATGCAGCCTCTTGGTTGTTTTGGTTTTTGAGTTAAGTGGATGTTCGGATCTTGCAAGAGGAATCTTCAAAGCACCAGTTTGCCATTCAGGTTGAACAGCAAAGGTATCAAGGCAAACTAAGGAATACACAGGTAGGCTACGGTTTCCTGCTGCTGGGTAGAACATTTGTATGTGTTGAGAACTCACTGCTTGGCGCTCAAGCAAAGCGAATTGCTTAGCACGGCCTGAATGATTCATGTTTCTGTGCCCAGAGCTGATTCTGTAGCTTTTCCGTAACCGGCCGCTTTCCACCTCTTCACAGACCAAAATGGTGCAACATATTCGCAAGAAGCACCCGGAATTCGCTCAGATCCCGACGAATACGATACACGTGCCATTGACGACGGCGGTCATCAGCACCGCGCCTGCAGTTTTAACTGCTGACAGCACCGCTGGGGAGACAGTAGTGGTAAGAATACTGGGATGACGATCAAGAAATAGACGTGTTACAGAAATGCAGGGATGAAGCTGGAGGAAGCTCTGGAATGACGCCTGTCCTGGCTCTGTTCTTGTGCCTTTAACAGCGTACATAGGGAATTAAGCCACTGCAGCTTTCCCTGTCACTATGCTGGGGAAAATTTCATGTCCTAAATTTCTGCATATGAAGCTGCTTTCTTTTGAGGAAAGGCTGAAGAGTCTGGGACTTCTTGGGTTAGAAAGGAGATTTATTGATTTATTTATTATTTTTGATTTACAAGAAGTTAAAATACAATAAAACACAGTGCATAAACGCAGGAACCTAAAATTCCACATAAAACCATATAGAAGTAAAGTGCAGATGGCGGTGGGGCATGATAGAGGCTTATAAAATGATGTGCGGGGTAGAGAGAGTAGGCAGAGAGAATTTTTTCTCCCTTTTCCAAAATACTAGAACTTGGGGCAGCCAATGAAGTCGATAGGCAATAGGTGCAGGACAGACAAAAGGGAATATTTCTTTACTCCATTAGTAGTTAAATTGTGGGATTTGCTGCCAATGGAAGAAGGGATGGCCGTGAGCATAGGCTACTTTACAAGGGAGTCAGAGAAATTCATGGCGCATAGGGCCATCAGTGGCCACTAGCCATGGTTAATTAGGGGAATCTCCATATGCAGAGTGCGAGGAGTGAACATCACAGAAGAAGAGTGAAACTCAGTGCTAGGAGGCAGCATCGGGGATGCTGTGCCCTGTTCATTGGGCCTGCAGGACTACTGGTTGGCCACTGTGTAAGACAGGATGGATGGTGGACCAGATGGAAGAAGAAGGACCACTGGTCTGATCCAGCAGGGCTGTTCTTGTTTTTGAAAGGCACAGAAACAACAGCAGACCAAGTGGCAACGCCGCTTGGGTCTGTTTCACGGTGTCCCTCCATTCACATAAGGTAGGAGGAAACTTGGAAAGCCTCAGGCCTTGTAACCTGCAGCTTGAGTTTCTTGCAAGAAGCATCTGGAGCCATTTGCTTTGCAGGCACCTTCCACAGTGCACCTGCTCTACTTTCGGCACACTTAGTGAACAGCAGGCGATTGACCTGTGGAAGGTTGGTAGGTAGATGGTGTCTCCCCACCCCCCACCCTTAGGGTAGAGTGTGGGAGTAGACAGAGTCTAGTATTTTTAGTTTTGAGCTCCAGAGTCCAGTGGTTTGCGTCTCAATTTGCAAGTCTTTGGGCTGGAACTTCTTTGCTAGGGAAATAATGACACAATTGCCAAGCATTCAGGCAAATGAAGAAACACAAACAAGCCAATTAAACTTTAATGATAAGCTGCTTGCCTGCCTTTGTCTCCTCCAGACAACAGATCTGCTGACCCAAGCAATGACAGAGCTGTCACAGACGCTGACAACAGACTACCGAACCCCGCAGGGTGATTTTCAGCGAATACAGTACATCCCTGTGTCACAGTCCACAACGGGCTTACAGCAGTCTCAGCACATACAGCTGCAGGTCGTACAAGTGGCTCAGGTGAGTGACATATGCGTATCTTCTACTACTTTAGTAGAAGCCTCAGCTCTGCCCTTCTCTCATAAACCCATGGTAATAAAGACGTAACATGTGAACACACATGAAGCTGCCTTATACTAAATCAGACCCATTGGTCCATCAAGGTCAGTATTGTCCACTCAGACTGGCAGGGATTCTCGAGAGTTTCAGACTTCTAGGTCTTTCACATCACTTAGAAGACTTAGTTTTTAACATCTCGCTTTTCTCTCCCTTGAGGTGTTTAAAAATGGCTTACAATCACATTCCCTTCCTCTCCCCACAACAGGCACCCTGTGAGGTAGGTGGGGCTGAGAGAGTTTTTGAGAGAACCGTGACTGGTCCAAGGTCACCCAACAGTAGGGTTGCCATTCCACTGGTGGTGCTGGGGAAAAACCCCAATTTTCAGGGCTTCAGCCCACCTGCCGGCCAGCTGGCCAGCAGCGTTAGCCCCACCCCCAAACAGGGATATCACCACACGACATCCCCAATGCAATGACGTCACCCGGAAGTGATGTCATCATGCCAGGGACATCCCATAGGGATGCTATGGTATTTGGGCAAACTGTACTGATGTAGCTTCCCCAGGAGACACAGGCTGGGGTCCAGCAGGGCAGGACACAGGAAAGGTTGCAGAGACTGACCAAAGTCCAGTCCAGAACTCAGGGGTTTACCAAAATCCAGTCTAGGGTCAAGGAGTCCCAGGCAGCAAGTCCAGTCCAAGGTCAGGCGTTCCAGAAAAGCCAGTTGTCAGGTCCGGTCCAAGGTTACAGAGGTCTGGTAGCAGCAAGGTGGGTGGCTCAGTAGCAAAGTATAGTTGTATCTACAAACTGCTGCTTCTCCCAGCTGAATTTATAGCCAAACTCCCAGCCAATTCCGTGGCAGTCATCCTGAAACTACTCATTCATCTCTTCAGTTGACAGCTGACAACAGGCCATGAGTCTTGCACTTCTCCTTTCTTGCAACTCTAAGCATCTCTGACAGTATTGGTGCTGCAAGGGTGTGGGTGAGCTAGGTGGGCTGGGAGTGGCTTTTGAAGACTTGTTTACTGCTTCAGAGCTACAAGGTGTTGGCTGAGTTTCAGCTGTAGGCGGTGACTCCTGAACAGCTGTAACCTGATCTCATATTCTTCTTCTGGCTTAGAGCCAGCTATAGCAGCTGTTCAATTACCAACTGGGAGCTAGCAGGTAGCTCTTCATATGAGAAATCTGAGCCATCACTCAGCACAGATTGACTTAAACACAAACTCTATGGTTTTGAGGCCAAAAAACCCACAGAGTTTGCCCAAATACCAGAGAGTCCCCCCATGTGATGTCCCCAGTGCATTGACATCACTTCCAGCTGACATCATCATGTCAGGGATGTTGCATGATGTCCCCCCCCCAAATGCCCCCCAAGGTCCCCCGCTCCAGGCAAAATAAGACCTGGCAACGCTACCCAGCAGGCTTCATGTGGAGGAGGAGTGGGGAATCAAACCTGGTTCTCTAGATTAGAGTCCTCCACCCTCAGTCACTATGCCATGCTCGCTGTACTATCTGATTCTTCAACTGGAGATGCCAGGGATTGAACCTGGGACCTTCTACATGCCAAGCAGATGCTATACCATTGAGCCACAGCCCCCCCCCCCTTAAAGATGCAATGTCTGTTTATAAGTCACAGCCACTTAAGGGTCAGCCATTCAGATTATCATATCTAGCATGTGCAGGGATCATTTCGTAGAAAAAGAAGTACAGGAGCTCATTAGCATAACTTATTTGCAAGTGCCACACCCCCTGACATCACTGGAAGTGTGTCAGAAGAAAACACCCACCGCTCAGGCTACACTGGACTGTTTTGGATTGCTAGCTATTTGGGGGGGGGGGACGTGCAGATCTGTCCTCACAGAGGAGGGAGAGCTTGTACCTGAATAAAACTTGTTCTTAAAGGTACCACTGGACTGTTTGGGGTGGGGTGGGCCTCTGCAGCTTACCTGGCTGCTTCTTGCTCTGACTGAGGGCTGCAGGGAGCAGGGGGTGGGGCTTGTTGCATGTGCCCGCCCCCTGGGCTCTTTACTGCCGGAGCTCCGCTCCTGGGCGCTCCTGCAGGAAATGACCCCTGAACATGTGACAGTCCATGTTCCAGTTTTCATCTCTGAGCTCGGGCTCCCGTTAGTTACCTGACATGGGGTTGGAACCATGCAGCTTTTCTGCTTGTGAAAAAGGAAGAAGAACTCTTTGATCACTCAAGAAGGTTATGCTAAGAATCATGGGATTTGCAGGTACAAAAGCCACGTGTGGTGAAAGTTTTAGTATGGAGGGGAATTGGATGAGACTGAATGGAAAAGCTGGCTGGCTCTAACCTACTATTAAGAGTCCCATGGTCCATGGTAGCTGGCACGTGATCACAACAGTTTTCAATCATTTGTGTTTTTAACTGAATACATGCATTTTTCACTTGGATAACAAAACATGGAGATTTTTCTTTAGCTGCTTAGAGAGAGGCGACCCATAGGCTGGAAAAGCTTTGCAAATTGCTCACCAGAAGTGTCAGTGCAGTGTAGCAGATAAAGTGTTCCAGCTGGACTAGGGAGGTCGGGATTCAAATATTTTCTCTCCTGTGAAACTCATTGAGTGATCTGAGGCCGTTCACAATCTCTCAGCCTAGCCTAAGTCATCGAGTTGTTCTGAAGACTGAAACAAAAACCACAGGACAGGGAAAATGTCCTTAGGTTAAGCCTGAGTTCCTTGGATGAAGATCGGGATGCAAATTTGATGAGATGGAAAGATGCTATCTGTAGGCAGTAGGCCAGATGTACTCACTTCACAGCTTATAGACAGCCACAGTGGCAATTACCTTCAAGCTAAACCACCACATTTGCTTCCATCTCTGGCACAAGGCCTGCACATCTGGGAGGCTCTCAGTTTACCCATTCCTCTGGCAGCAGCTGCTTCAAGGTAGAAACCACATTCCAGCTACAAGCTCCACTAGGCAACCGCCTTGCTCACTTCCCTAAAACACGGGACAGGTGCCACATTGGGAAACAGTGCTCACAAGAGCCAAAAGTGGCATGTTGAAGAGCCACAGATGGCGCCCCACGTCTCAGGCCACTTCCACATGGGTAATTGGCCCCCCAGGTTCAATGTGATTTGGAAGTGTTTTATTGCTCTTGCTTCCCCACAGGAAGGCTTTGTGTACTTTCCAGGATTCCCCCAGCTTTTCTCTGACCTTTCTCAAACCTGCTTTGCTGCGACGTTTTGGGAAAGATCGCATTATAGCCTGGATGGCTGCTGTGTGAATGGGAAAGTCTGGATTTTCCTGCCTACATAGCAGCCGTTTCCCATGACACTTGTCCCCACAGTGGCCATTTCCTCCCTGTGCCTTTGGGGGGCCCTTTTGTTCGTTTAATCAGCAACCAGGGGTCATTTCCTGCAGGAGCGCACAGGAGCGGAGCTCCGGCAGTAAAGAGCCCAGGGGGCGGGCACATGGAACAAGCCCCACCCCCTGCTCCCAGCAGCCCTCAGTCAGAGCAAGAAGCAGCCAGGTAAGTTGCAGAGCCCCCCCCCCGGCCCAAAACAGTCCAGTGGCACCTTTAAGACCAAGTTTTATTCAGGTACAAGCTCTCCCTCCTCTGCGAGGACAGATCTGCACGTTTCCCCTCCCCCCCATAGGTAGCAATTCAAAACAGTCCAGTGGAGCCTGAACGGTGGGTGTTGCCTTCTGACACACCTCTGGTGATGTCAGGGGGTGTGGCATATGCAAATAAGTTATGCTAATGAGCTCCTGCACCTCTTTTTCTATGAAATGACCCCTGTCAGCAACTAAATATAGTTCTGTAGATATAACACTACATGGAACACATTCTGTGAATTTCCAGCTCTCGTATTAAAAAGAGCAAGTCTCTAGCCCTTTCCGTTTACAGATATAAGGGGGAAAGCATATCTGTGCAACACACAGGGATAGAGACCTATTTTTTTTAAAAAAACCCTGCAAGCTGGAAGTTCAGAGAACCTGTTACATATATCTTTATAATGGTATATTGATAAAATGTTATTCAGTTGCTGGTTTGGGGGGGGGGGAATTGGCCTGAGGGGAAGGGATATGGCCACTGCTCAGGGACTCAGGCAGGGAACCTGTGGGGAAACCTACCATGTGGAAGCTCTGTTGCCACTGCGCTGTATCAGAAACCACACCAGCAACAGGGAAACCACACAAGCCGGTGCCTGTATGGAAAGCACCTGAGTGTCACTGCATTATGCATACTGAAGAGGTAAACTCCGAGTTCTGCTTTTGAAGGACAGATCTGCCAGAGAGGCCGAAATGGAAGCAAACGCCTCTGAATGGTTCTGGGGGGGGGGGGGCGGGCGGCAGGCAGGAGTCATGTCACAGGACTGATGAGAGAGTAATATATGAAATGAACATATATCACAGCTCATTGCCGATCCTTTTCAGGGAGGCCAGGAAATACATCCAATTAGATTAGATTACATAGATAAATGTGTCAGCCTCTAGCACTGTCTGCAGGTTTGAGAGCTCACAACAGAGAATCTTTGAAAAATCCACGATTGCCGTTGTTATGAGCAACTGGCTAGACGCTGCTTAACCATTCCAATCACTAGCCGACTCTCACGGCCTTGCTTTTCCTTTGTGATTTTTTTTCCTCCTGATTAAGTTGCTAAAACTAATTAGGCTTTGTTTAGCAAGTAAGATTTTTAGAATGTTTTCCGTCCCCCCGGTAGATGATCCTACACTTCATCATGATGTTGGAACATGAGAAGCTCTGGCATGCATGAATAAATTAAGATAATTATCTTCTGCCGCTGCCGCTAAATGTCTTGTTTGGCTTAAATGGAGGGTTTGTTTATTTTTTAGCGTGTTTACTAATCAGCAGCCTTTCCCCCGTGATAACAGAGGTGACTCATCATGACTTGTTGTTCCGATCAGGTCTGTGCCTAGAGACTCAACCCAGCTTCCTAAGCCTGATTGTTACCTTAGCAGCACGCTGGCTTTTCCCCCATGGCTCTGTCCACGACTACCCATAACGTGGATTTAGAAAGCATCTGAGAGCATGGTCAGCCCTACCCTTAAGCAAATTAGCCTGCTTCATGCAGCAGGTTTTAGCATGCCATTAAAGGTGTCATTGGTTGAATTTATTGTGAGAGTTTTCCTCATCTGGGCTGGGGGGGGTACCATTTGGATTTTTATGGAGGATAGGTCTATCAGTGGCTGCTAGCCATGGTGACTGAGGGGAACAACTTCCACATTCAGAGGCACTAAACCTCTGAATACCAGTGCCAGGAGGCAACATCAGGGGAAGGCCTCAACGTCTATGCCCTGTTGTTGGCCCTCCAGAGGAACTGGCTGGCCACTGTGTGAAACAGGACTCTGGACTAGATGGACTACTGGTCTGATCCAGCAGGGCTCCTCTTATGTTCTCATCTTCTACGCCCTGTTGTTGGCCCTCCAGAGGAACTGGCTGGCCACTGTGTGAGACAGGACTCTGGACTAGATGGACTACTGGTCTAATCCAGCAGGGCTCCTCTTATGTTCTCATCTTCTGTGCCCTGTTATTGGCCCTCCAGAGGAACTGACTGGCCAACATCTATGTCCTGTTGTTGGCTCTCCAGAGGAACTGGCTGGCCAGTGTGTGAGGCAGGATGCTGGACTAGATGGATCACTGGTCTGACCCAGCAGGGCTCGTCTTATGTTCTTACAGGTGTCAAAATATCTTGGGCTGTTTGTGAGCTTCCTAGGGGACATATGGCTGACCAGTTGTGGGAACAAGATGTTGGACTAGATGAGTCCTGGACTGAATTCACCAGGGCTGTTCTTATATGGGAAAGGTAGCCTTACAGAGGAAGAACC